ACCCCATTGAAACATAACTCAAAATCCAGTCTCTTCTCTACTGCTCACAAAATACTGAGCGTTCACAAAAACTGGCTAACGTTAAGCACTCCTGCCACTTTTTCAGTTCTTTACACCTACCCTCATACTTTCTCACTGCATCTTAATGACTGTACATCATGATACCTGCTATGAAATTAAATTGCTGTTTTTCTGCACACAGCACAATTCTAGATTGGCTTTGGTTTTTCTGCATTACAAGCACACATTGTTCTCTAGTGCATTGTTTAGATTCCCATATGCAAAATCTAACTGCAGCATTAACACCCTGAAGGGAAAGAGTTCCCGTTTGACAGATGCTTTCACATTCTCACCCAATGCTGTGTCCTCTCCAGCTACCTGAACTCCCTTTCCAAGCTGCCAGACAGCAGAGAGGATTTAAAGTCAGATTCCTTGTTCCCTTAAAGACTTCAGATGCTTCCAGTCTAGCAAGTCACTGCAAGGCTTCCGAACTAAGAGACAAGACAGTATCTGTAAAATGGCCATTGGTGCAATTAGTTTTGCTGTGTGAGAAAAGCTGCCCTGAGCCAATTCAGTTCAGTTGGCTACAGATAATCCTCAGGCTTGTCAAGGACCAGTTTTTTTGCACAGTGCAAGCATCTATGGCACATGATACAAAATAAAAAGCATTCCTCTTGGAACAATAAGTCGTCTCTATCTCATTTGTAACATAACAAATCAGCCTTTTTTTTTTGATAGATGACTTTAATTTTGCTGGCGTATTGCACAGGTTTGCAAACCAGATGTTACTGCTGCCAGACAGGAACAGTAATGTAGGCAGGGAGCAGTTTATCATGGCACTCTAGTACTAATGCCCTGGTGAGGTCAGGGATTAGGGGTCAGTTGCTAGTTTGATTATTATCCCTGTTTTTCAGAGGCAAATAGTATAGAGTCCATGAGGGCTATTATTGGCACTGAGGTGAAACTCATTGGCAGTGCACCAGTCCCCCTACTTATTTTCAGCTTCCTCTGGAAAGAAATGGCTCATTTAGAGGAGATGCAGGCGTTTATATCAAGAATAGACAAGAAATGGAATTGAGGTGGATTTTTTTAAACGTGCTTGAACCAAACCCCATTAATTTGAATCGCTGAAATGTTATAGGTGTTGGGCCTTGTTCAGAGGTGATGTGTAGGGCAATCTGAGTCTGGGAGGGGGAGTGGGGGAGAGTATAACATGGTGCAGTTTGCATTGACTGGCCTCTCAGCGTGCGAGTTGCAGCAGGAAAAGTGGTGTTGTGGTTAAGGCACTGCACGGAGACTCAATTCCTTCCCGTCACAGAATCTCTGTGTGATCTTAGGCAAGTCACTTATTCTTTCTGAACAAAATCCTGTTTCACTTGGCATGCTTATGTGACCCATACATAGCTGTGTACGTGCAGTTCAAGCTTCTATTTCTCACTGCAATGGAACAGGATTACTTTACTGAAAGTAGACAGAGACTGCCCAATTTTAGCCCAATTTTACCCCAATTGCCTAGGAGTCAGAGCACTTGCTCAGGAAGCAGGAAAGCAAGAATTTACACTCACCTAGACTGAGTTTGAATCTGCATCTCCTACATCCTAGTGGGGTGCTCTAATCACCCGTCATAAAGGACCACAGGCTGGTCCTTGCCTGGAGCCCTCTCTTGTCCTCCTCTTGAAGCTGGCCCACTGTACCCTGCCTTTAGTACTCATTAGATAAACAGCACTGGGACAGTGGATCAAGCTGCCTTTGGATGAGAGAGACCTAGAATAGTGGTCACCTTCTCCCTGGATAAATATTCTAATCATTACTTATTGAGCACAGGCCATGCTCTAACTCTGAATCTCTCCAAAATTACACCTGTTCCCTAGTGCACCAGCATTTGTCACCTCTGAATTGATCGTATTTCCTCTTTCACAATTGTTTTCCTTAATCTTTACAAAAGACAAATCTATGGACTCAGTAAAAGTGGTTCCTACCATATAATGGCTGATTAATAACAGCTCTGTTCTCAGGCTTCTTAAAGAACCTCACTGCAAGTGGAAGGTTTTCGGGGGGGTTTTGGTTGGGGTTTTTTTGGTTTGATTCATTGCTCTGTGCATGTATCCTGTGGGTTTGCAGCATTTCAACACCTCTTATTTCAACAGTGAAGATTCATAGATTGTTAGGGGCTGGAAGGGACCTTGGAAGATCATCAGGTCCAGCCCCCTGCACTAGGCAGGAAAGACAACTGGGGTCAGGTGACCCTGACAAGGTGACTGTCCAGTCTCCTCTTGAAGATTTCCAGGGTAGGTGATTGCACCACCCCTGGAGGGAGCTTATTCCACAGTCTGGACACCCTGACTGTGAAGAAGTTTTCCTAATGTTGAGCCTGAATCAGTCTTTCAGGAGTTTGTGGCCGTTACTCCTGGTTTTTTCCTCGGATGCCTGGTGAACAGTTGTTTACCAAGCACTTGATGTCCTCCCCTAGTGTAGTGGTAAGCTGCTACCAGATCCCCTCTCAGCCTTCTTTTCCCAGATCCCTCAGCCTTTCCTCATCTAGCTTGTCTTTTAAGACTCTGATTGTATGGGTGGCTCTTCTCTGGACTCTCTCAAGCTTGTCCACGTCCTTGTTAAAGTGTGATGCCCAGAACTGGATGCAATACTCCAGCTGCGGTCTCACCTGTGCCAAGCAGAGCAGAAGAATCACCTCCTTAGATTTGCTGGATTTATTTGTTATAATCACTTTGGGGGATAATTTTGCTCCATTCTTACATGTTCAAGGAACTTGGCTCTGGGTTTCTGACTGTACTTTGTCCTAATGAAAGGTTCCCTGAAAAAAACTGAACATCAGAGGGTACTCCAGGAAGCACTGGGAGGTGCTTTAATTGGCATGGGGTGCTTTGAACTAAAGCTGGTTGAATGAGCTTTAGTTTAAAGTGCCCTACCACCAGTTTTCAGCGAAGGGACCATGATACACATGACGCTGGAGGCTGGTGGAGCGCGTTAATTCCATGCTCCAGCAGACTCAATTAATTGAGTGTGCTCTGACACACTGGAATTACAGCATGTTGGAGCAGGCTCCCTGCATGTGTCTAGGAGCCAAGAGATGGATTACAGATTTGGTCTCTCTCTGTATGGTTTCTTTGCATCTTTCTGACTTACCCTAATTATGCAAAGGAGCTCAAAGTCTGGGCTGATAGTCTGATTCTTCAGTTTGAAGAAGCTGTCCACCAATGATGGGACCAGATATAGTACTCTTCATTTCAACAAAACCCTCGCTCATGTTAATGGAAAATCTCCCTGCCATAGAAACCAGGAGTATGCAACTCCCTGCTTTTAGGTCTTACAGTACCTTAAATACAGCTGGGTGAGTTGCTTCTATAAGGGCTATATTAACACTGACTTGCCTAGTTTCTTGTACATTAAGCTGAATTCTTAGAGCCAAAGGTGGATGCTTACAACAGTTCTCGCTGAAGTCAATGAGAGTTTCCTAAATGGAGAGAAAGGAAGTGAATGTAGAATTTCTTTGGGTTGAAGGGAAGATAGGAATCATTGAGGTCAGACACTGATATTGTACATTTTAGCATGATATCATTGTGCTGCTGTCTTGAAAATACCAAAAGACAGTGAAATATGGGCTTGACCTTTTAAATTCCTTACACCCCCCAGGAAGGAATTGCCATTATTACAGAAACGCTGTGTTATTCTGTTGAATGTGAGCCAAAGGGGAGGACATCCTAACATCCACACAGAGGGATTTAAAGGAACAGGACTCATACAATTTATAGATCCAGTTACTTCTTTCTTGCCATTGCAAAGAAAGATTAGAGTTTTTATTGTGACAGTATCTTGCTGTGTTTTCATCCCATCGCATCCAACCCCAGACCTTTGTACAATCCATGCTGTGAAACCAATGTGAAAACAGCTGTTTGGAGGGCTTGGTTATAAGGCAGGTACATTGTCAGTGCTGTCACACCTTCATGAAGTAAATCTTTGAGATGGATATGTTTCTGGTTTGCTGTAACAAGAGTATGAGAAGTTATTCTTACCAAGTATGGAGGCACTTGGGTACCATATAGTGACCTCAGAGAGGCCAGAACCCTGGGACTCAGGGACTTCATTTCCTTCTAAGTCCTAGTGAACATCAGAGGGCGACATCAAAATGTATATGGCTATTACTCTGCTTTTTGCTGTTGTGCCATCAACTAATTTTGGAGTATGATTCAAGTGAAGTTTGTAATGGGAGTCATTATTGTTAAGAGCAGACGTACTGCTGTTAAATCAGCCTATTGAAAATAAAGTAGCACATTCATATTAGACAGAACACCAGAAAGGTAGCATTACTAAGTCTGTTCTAGCTCCCACCAAACTCAGGGGTACTATTTCTGTTGCATCTGATAAATCTAAATCAAGTAGTTTAGTAACTTTTATTACTATAGCATGGCAGTCTTGTCACTTCCATTTTGACAGTTTTTCTTCCCAGATTCCCAGTTAGCACTGTCTTAGATTCCCAGTTAGAATTGTCTTAGACTCATACATTGAAGTGTTTTGCACCAGATTGTGAATAACTGCAATCTAGACACAGTCCAGCACCCAGCACATTTCTGTTACTGACCCAACACAGGTGCACTGTGTGAGGGTGGAGCTATTTGCTCCTGGCTGTGTTAAATGATAGGGCATTACATACTGGTGGAATGGCTCATCAGGGAGGTTGAACACCGCTGCAGACAGCAAAGCCCTCAGAACAAAATAGGTCAATATAAAGAGTAGACAGCAAATGGCAAACACACTTGTTTGGGTTCACACTCTTCTCTGGCCCCTGGTGCAGAGCCCATCATTCCCTACAGTTTCACAGAGCCACTCATAGGCTTTTGATTAGATAACATCCTTATACCTGTAATAGAAATCTGCTTGTTTCTAGATCATCACCCTGTGGGCTATACTGTGCCCTTGCCTCACATGTACCACTCCCAGAGAGGTTAATGCTTGTTATGTCTCTCTCTCTCTCTTCTCATTAGAGAATTAATGCCCAGGACCCTGGACGGGCAGATCACCATGGAGAAAACCCCCAGCTACTTCGTCACCAAGGAGGCACCCGCTCGTATCTCCGCCATGTCAAAGGGCACCAAGCTCATCGTAGTCGTAAGGGACCCTGTAACCAGAGCCATATCTGATTACACACAGACTCTCTCCAAGAAACCTGACATCCCCACCTTCGAGAGCCTGACCTTCAAAAACAGGACTACGGGCCTGATCGACACCTCGTGGAGCGCCATCCAGATTGGCATCTATGCCAAGCACCTGGAGAACTGGCTCCTGTACTTCCCCATCGGGCAGATCCTCTTTGTCAGCGGGGAGCGGCTGGTCAGCCGCCCCGCTGGGGGGCTGGGCAGGGTCCAGGACTTCCTGGGCCTCAAGAGGATCATCACAGACAAACACTTCTACTTCAACAAAACCAAGGGTTTTCCGTGCCTGAAAAAGGCTGAAGGCAGCAGCAAACCCCACTGCCTGGGGAAGACGAAAGGCAGGCCCCACCCCGAGATAGACCAGGAGGTGGTGCAGAGACTGCGGGACTTCTACCGGCCTTTCAACATGAAGTTCTACCAGATGACTGGGCACGACTTCGGCTGGGACTGAGGCTGAAAAAAAATAATTTAAAAAAAAGAAAAATATAAGATAATATATATTTTTTTTACATATCAGTGGAGAGGGAAAAATACATAACTTTAATAGCTGTGCTGAAAAATGCTATTTGTTCTGATTTTTCTTTTTGGCACAATGTCATTGCTTAATTTGTTTTCTTTCTGCTGTTGAAGGAGGGTTGGTGTGGCTGAAGAAGGTGGCTGAGCGCCAAAATTTAATTCTATTAAAATCAGCACAAGCTTGGTCATTTTTTCCATGGGATTTGGCACTGTGTCTATTGAAAAGGGGGCAACATTTTCAAAAGTGCCTAAGTCCCATTGTCAGAAGTGACTTTGAAACTTAAAGAGGCAAAGTCTTGTTAATAGGCAACAGGATTTAACCTCCTAAGGGTTTTAATCATGTTTGGAAAATGGAACATAGGAATATAAAAGCGCAATTTGCTTTTAAAAATATTACCCTGGAGCAGATTGGGACAATTTTTAAAGCACTGGCAAAAATTGGAAAGGTAATTCTTTCATTTATCGTTCTTTTTTTTTTTGGGGGGGGGGGGGGGGGTTGGTCCATTAATGGGAATTTTTTCATCAGGTATAAAGAACTATGTTTCATTTTTCAAAAACCAAGAACAATTTTGTTGTTATTGGTTTAAAATTAAACATTTTGGTTTTTATTGCCAAAAAATGGAAAGATATTCAGTTTTTGAGCAAAAAAGATCCACTTTTGTGAAAATTTAGTCACGTGACCATTTCCAACTAGCCTCATCCAGAATAGCCTTGCCATAACCTTCACTCTCACCCTAATTCATGTTACAATCTCTTTCAAGATTCAGAAACATTAAAGCTTTCTTCCACTTGGGTGCCATCCATGAAAAAATTGAGGTTGTGGTCTGGGAGGGTTCACAGCAATGGGAAATTTGAAGGATTGAGGTGATAACTGAAGGGGTCAAGGCAATGCATATACAATTACTACTAACCCAAATTTTACAGTAGTATAAGAGTGATGTAGCCATGATTGTCCAAAAATTATGTGAGAGGCAAGGATTTCTTAGGGTGATTTCTTTTATTGGACCAGGGAGACCTGATGAAGAATATTTTGCATTCAAAAGCTTGTCTAACTTTATCTGAACTATGAAGTTGGTCCAGTAAAACATATCACCCCAAGAAGTCCTGGACTCTCTATTAATCGATAGCACATTTTTGCATCCTGGTTCCCTGGATTAAAAAAAAAAACAGTCCAGTGTCTTGGGCAACATTTTTCATAAAACATTATATTTATTTTCAAGAAATGAGCCTGGTACTCACTCCTGAATCCACTTTGAACTTCTCTTTCCAGCTCTTCTATTAACTGTCCCTTAAAAAATTATCCTAAGCATGGCTGAAGTTGCAAAGCCTCAGAGAGACCTTTCCCTGTCGCCTCTAAAGAACCAAACACATGATATTTCACATGCATTCAATTCCTAAATTATTTCAAATAATTTAATGCTGAGGGGACTTTCTGAAGGCCTATGCACCAAGACTTTCTTCTGTGCATTATCTGAGCTCTGGTATCCTTGCTCAGAGACCAGTAACAGCTGCCTAAAGTTCAATAGTTGGGGGTTAGGAAATTGTTAAATCATTTTTCTGGAATCTGCTTCCTCCTCCTCCCTTCCCCCCTCCTCTCCCCCCAGCCATAAGAGGTCATCATGTCACCCACCCCTCAGTACCTTCAGCTGATACTTTCATCTTCCTGGACAAATTCTTGTTTTAGAATATTCCATCTCCAGTTTTAAGCTGGTTTTTGGCAGTGTCCTGTGCCACAAAAAAAATCTGGGTAAACATTTTATAATCATCTTATCCAAATAAAAGGGGAAAAGAGCAGTTATTAGGACATTCAGACACAGCCTAGAACAAAGCACAGCAATGAAGTTACTGGCTTTAGCACACTGTCTCCCTTTGTGTCTTCATCCCCTTTGAGGTCCATCTAAGGGCTTGATTCATGGCTCATTACAATGTACTCCTCTTATAAAAATCTTGGTTATTGGTGTTCACACAACAGCCAAAGGAGTAGTGGTGACAATCACATAGCTGAATATATCAGAAAGCAAGGATGAGCAAAAGAGTTTGTCTCAAGTAAGAGCACAACACTTTCCATCCCTCTCTCTCTGTCACTACTCCCTCAGCCCAAACTTCACACCAGAAGGTTTCTCAATGGTCAGCAAGGTATATGTGTTAATTTTTCCCTTTGTTAAATTTTCCCTGTCAACATTGCCTAAGGCTCCTTGTTCTAGTTAGGAACATCTAGATTAAAATAGCCTGAACAAAGACTTTTAAAAAAGAAAATTCTGTTTCTTTTCTCATTGAAATTTGCGTCCTCACCAGAACAGGCCCAAGCATGCCCTACTGATGTGCTTCCTACCCATGCCTGTAGGCACATTTCTAATTTAGATATCTGCCAGTTAAAACACTCAAGGAAGAGCCTCTGAGGCTGGTCTTGAGACCACAGTTTATCACAGACAAAAGTGACAATTTTCGCCCAATCTGGCCCCTGTAAGTGCTGTGAATTGGAGCCCCCCCCCACCACCACAGTGTGGGGGGGGCTCCAATCCATACTCCTCCCAACACTCCAGCACAAGCTGGAGAAACCCCAGAACAAGCTCCCTCTCCTACCTTCTCCCCCTCCCATTCTGAGACAGCACCAGGTGCCAGGGGGACCGAGCTAGGGGAAGAGGCTATAGAGATGCAGCCACACTCCCTGGATTGGCTCCAAATTGAAGCTCGATCCCCCACCCTCCAAACCCAACAGCTAATGTCTGTTAGGTTGGGAGGATCAGTTTAACTGATGGCGCTCTCTGTGAAGTGCCATGAGTTAGACCAGGGAGCTGCACTTCTGTCTATGCCTTGAGAGGAGCCTCTGAGAGAGCCCCAAGTGGCCTCACAAGCACCCTCCAGATTAGGATCATACCTGCATGGACTAGTGGGTGGGGCATGCTCAGACCCATCCTGTTTTACAATCATTACCACTGCTATAAAAAAAAAATCCTAGTCCCATAAGACCTTAAGGCTCAAGTCAAAGGAAGGGTTCCAGTTGACTTCCATGGGCTATGAATCCTGGTACAGTAAAAGTAATTCCCAATATATTTAGTCCAAACTGTCAGGAGAAAATGTCATGATTTAGTCCAAACTGTCAGATTTGCTTTTGGTTCTGACCATACAATGCCTGTTTGAATGAAAAGGAGCCAAACACTTGAAAACTCAGTCCCCATCCTTCTACTTGGCAAATGCATTCTTGAATGATAGAAGTCATTCCCTTTGTTTTTCAGGGACTGCTACCATATTTATAGATTTTACACCTTTGCACACTTAGAATAGAAACAGAAAACTGCTCTCTGAGATGTGACCTAATAATCCGTGTTTCCCGATAGCCCCAGAGCAGTGGTGCTCAACCTTTCAGCCCGGTGGGCTGGAGGAGTGGTATGGGGTAGTCTGCAGGTTAGATCCAGAGTCAGGCCCATGTGCCCAGATCCTGCCTCATGCCACTAACTTACTACACTGTAATCGGTGCTACTGCACAGTAGCATGAGCGCACATTTTTTACGTGATTCTAATGTGCAGTAGACTAATTCTACTCCACATTAGCACAGCTTTCACTGTGATGCACTAATGTGCAGTAGAATTAGTCTACTGCACTCCTAGCATCTCGTGTAGATGTACTCAGTGTATCTTAGATTCCCATAAACCAATCTAGACTCCTTGGGAGGGATTTTTAAAAGCTCCTAAGCAACCTAGGAAGACAATTTCCCTGGAAAGCCAATCTTTAGTTACAGACTAAGGACCCCCCTCACACTTGTTTGGACTTTTTTAGACCAGTTAGCAATGCCTAAGATATCTAAAGCAAACTAAGATTTCCACAGGTAGAGATGTGGCCCAGAAGCGGGGATAAATGATGCTACAAGGCATCAACACTTGTATCCGTTGAGAATTTAGCATATGATATTGTACTAACTTACACAGTAGAGCTTGCAGGAGAGGACACATACTAAGTGATTCCCCCACTGCCCCATCCCTTCCTGCATCTCCTCCCTATCACAATACATAAATCAGTTATAACTTATTACCTTCCATTTTCCCTGAGGCCCTCTCAATGGACAGTGAAGCGGGGAGGAAGCACTGGTACTTGGTTCTTTTATGTTCCATTTTCTCTACCCCAAAGACATCAATAATTCCATTTTAAATCAGGTTAACAGAATAAGGACTTTTTTTTCTCAAAGTGTTAATTGCTCTTCTTGTTAATTCTGTTGCTGACAGACAGGATGTTAATAGTTGTTAAACAAAAGGTTATCTTGGGAAACTATTGTCATGACTTGTTAGGGAAGAGCTAGAGGTGCAGGCGTGGGCTCCACCCTTTATATCACTGCAAGTCTCTCCTAACACTTGCCAATAGGAAAGGGAATCTCAAGCACAAGTCCTTTTGACAGCAGAGGGGTAAGGGACCAGCTGGTTAGCAACTGAGAGGAGGGTGTTTCCCAAGGAGACACTGTCAAGGAGTGTCAGGCCAAAAAATTTTTGTTACAAAATTAAAAATTTCACAAAACTAACCACTATGGATTTCAAATGCACCTACATGACTTAGGCACACAGAAGTAAGATCTTCAAAGGTAGAAATGGCAGTTCTGTGCCTATACCCATTGTCTTTCAATAAGAGTTTAGCCCAGGCTATTCCTTACCTAGTTTTTGTCCCTGTATAAACGTCAGTAGTGGGTATGGGGTTGGGTTTTTTTTAGTGATCTACTGGTGCAAAACCTAGCATCAAGACCTTGTAGACAGGATAGCAATGCTTTTTTTTTTACTGGTATCTAGGAAAACAAGTTCTTTGGGCAAATGTGACATCTTTATTAGATAAACTAAAAAGTGGAAGTTTCCATTTCAAATAGCAAAATTTGATATCTTCCATGTTTCAGGGGGTTTTACTGGTATCTGTTATTCACTTTCCCATCCAGTTGCTGTGAAGCCTCTTTTTGC